CAGGGGCCTCGCTCTCCCCGACCGGCTGGAGCGCCAGGGAGAGGGCGGCGAGCCCAGCTGCGGCCCCGCTCTCCCTGGCCGGCCGGAGCGCCGGGGGAGGGTGGCGAGCCCGCTGCAGCTCCGCTCTCCCCGGGTGAGCGCCGCCCCCCTCCAGGTGCCGCCCCAAGCACATGCTTGGTAGGCTGGTGCCTGGAGCCGGCCCTGGAACTCTGCATGTGAAAGTGATGAAACAGAGAAAGCCTTTGCCAAGTATGTGCATCACAGGAACTTGAGCATTACGTATATAGTTCAGAATGTATTTTGTCAAGGAAAAAAGAATAACAAATTAAGCTAAACAAGACCAAGACCATAACAGGGTTCAAAAAAGAACTAGGTAAATTCATGGGGGTAGGTCCATCAATGGCTATGAGCCAGGATGGGCAGGGATGGTGTCCCTAGCCTCTGTTTGCCAGAAGCTGGGAATGAGCGACGGGATGGATCACTTGATGATTCCCTGTTCTGTTCATTCCCTCTGGGGCACCTGGCACTGGCCACTGTTGGAAGACAGGAGACTGGGCTAGAGGGACCATTGGTCTGACCCAGTAGGGCTGTTCTTATGTAAACACAAAGTACACAGTTATTTTCAAAAACCCCAGGGATAAATCCCTATGCTTGCTTGGCAAATGTACCTTGGCAAGGCACAATTCTTTCTAGAAGCTTTTGAAGATGCTATCAAATAACCTTATGGCTACACTGAATCAAGTCATGTGATCCTAGACGACTCCCAACTTCCAATCCAGTGATTGTCATTTTTATCGATCATAACAAGGTCCAGAAAAAATGACCTCATGTTGCGTGCAATACCTTTTGTGTTAGAAAATTATCAGCTGTAATGTTCAGAAACTCCAGTGACGTTTTACTGCTGGCTGCACCAGACCTCCAGCGTATGTATCCCAAACTGACTTCCTCCATAATGATGCAATTTTTTGCTTCCACGTATTATTTTAGTAGATGCTCTTGTGCCTTGGTGACACATGAGCGCCCCCCCCCCCCGATCTTTCCACCTCCCTCTGTCCAATGCCACGTTTCTTGCTCTGTTTCCATGACAGCAACACCTTTATCTACACACTTTCAAACAGGTGCTTATCAGGAATCTGGTTTTGGGCATCCCGCCCGTCTTGAGGAGCGATGTACTGCACTCCAGGGATGCAGGTGGGCTGCGGGCTGGTGTGGGACAGAGCCAGGCTTTTTGAAAAGGCTTCCTGAATCTGCATGATCTTTTCAGCACAGCAGGATGATAGTTCTTTGCAGTGCTGGGTGCTCAGCTCTGACGCAGGGTTGCTGAAGCAGTTTACCACACTGGATAGCTCCTTGGGGCAGGGTTTGCCGGCTTCAATGGAGACTCATAGGAAGGCTCTCTTGGCCTGTATGTAACCCTCAGCATGAGCCTGGAAGAAATCCTCATGTTTCATTTTTTGTCTTTATCAGCCTTCGATTTTGCTGTTGGCTCTCAAATTTCTGCCCTTCTTTCGTCCTCTGGTGGAGGGTGTCAGAAAACCAGGAGGTCTGCATGAGCGCTGGGGAGGAAGGGGCCACTGGGGGCCAGCCTGTTGATGGTCCAGGCTAGCATACACTGATCACGAGTCACCCGTTCCTAAGCTCTTTGTCCTGTGAGTGGAGTGTTGCTGTCTTTTAGCATGCCATAGAATTTGTAGTGTCCATGAGTCTATGGTCACAGATTCATAGAGGTCTCAAATCAGAAGGGACCACTGTGATCATCTAGCCTGACCTCCTGTAGACCAGAAGCCAGAGAACTTCCTCCAGATAATCCCTAAAGCGGAGCTGTTAGACAAACACCCCATCTTGAAATAAAAACTGCTACTGATGGAGAACCCATCACGATCCATGGTAAGTCACTGTTCAAATATTTGCACCTTATTTACCGTCTGAATTTGTCTAGCTTCTACTCCCAGCCATTGGATTGTGTCAGACCTTTTTCTGCTAGACTGCAGAGCTCATCGTTAAACATGTGTTCCCCATGTCGGTACTTAGACTGTGGTCAGTCATCCCTGAACCTTCTCTTTGGGAAGCTACGCAGATTGAATTCCTGGAGTCTCTCACTAGGAGGCAGGTTTTCCAACCCTTCAGCATTCCTACTGCTCTTCTTTGACCCCTCTTCACTTTATCAATGTCCTTCTTGAATTGTGTCCAGTCCTGGTGTTCCCAGCATCATCAGCCTCAGTCACACCAGAGCCAGCTACACAGTAACTTGTGTTTGAAAAGGCCTCTTCTTTGTGCATTTACCCTGGAAATGGATGTTACAGCCTAGAGCATGAGGCTAGGACCCACCCCCCCCAGGGCTATCACCTCACCCACCCAGAGCCCAGGGGACCCAGGGCATATGGAGCCCGCAGTGTGTGGTTAGGACTGACCCTGTTCTGACTCTCTCCTCTGCAGGCCAATGGTACCATGAGGAAGGCTGTCCTCCGAGTGCACCTGGTGTTTGACGCTGACAGCCAACTGGTCCCCTTTCCCTCCAGTCAGGTGTTGGAAACCAGCCTGCTGGGGGCCCTGGAGGCCGTGGTGGAATCTGTACTGCAGGTTGGTACCTCTGACTCCCAGCTTGGCAGTCGTCCCTCCCCAGCTGTGCTGACACCAGTGGGAGTAGGGAGTCTGCCTGCATCCAACGAGCACGTTGGAGGGCCGAATGGCTGTCCATCCCCTGTGCCAGGCTCTTTCTGCTGCACTGCCATTGCTGAAGGTCAAGCACATGCCTGGGGCTCAGGTGCCTTCACCGCAGTGCTGGTGGGTAATGGGAGGAGCAAGCTCCCAGCAAGATCTCTGTGTCAAGTAGTGCTTCAGCTCTGTGGATGGGCTGGCTTGGGGCAGGGGGTGGGGTCTGGTGCTCTTGCTGTGGAGGAGTGGTAAGGGCTGGCAGCTCTTGCTGGGAGGTTGGGCTGGGTGCCCCTGCTGCAGGGTGGGGAACCAAGTGTTGTCAATGTTATAATGTGGGCCTGGCCAGGAGGTTGAAGGACCCTGTTGTGGGGAGTGCAGGGTTGCAGAAGGTGAAGGGGACTGTGCCAAGCCCCTTTCTGCAGCCAGCGGGGATCTCCCCGTCCCTCTCCTGTCCCTGCAGGTGACCCGCACCAGGAAAGAGAAGCCAGTGACCCAACCTGAGCAGAGTCCTGGAGAGACAGAGACTTCCAGAAGTCAGGACTTGGCGATGGTGCTGTGCAATCCCCAGCCAAGTGGTAGGTGACTTCCTCACGCAGGTCTCTCTACCAGGGCCCGTCCCCATCTGTTGCTTCCTGGCCAGATGGAACACTGCCACAGGGCCTCCCAGGGTGGGGGACAGAGTGGATGGGGCAGAGGCCCTGCTGCTGCCCACTATACCCAGGTGCCAGGGAGGGGAGTGTGCACCCCCCGTCATCCCCACTGAGATGGTTGGTTGAGCCCTCACTGTCTGTCTCTCTCTCCTGTGCAGCCCTTCGAGAGGCAGACAAAGGAGGCCCTGAGGCCCTGGCCCCCCAGTCCCCTGAGGAGCTGCTCCAGAGTCTGCCTGCTGAGGTGCTCTGTGGCCAGCAGCCACAGCTGGTGCACCATCTGGATCTGAAGGGCATCGGGGGCCTGGAGGTGAGTGGGCACCGGCTGAGGAGCCAGTACCCAGTGCCGTCGAGGGAGCAACTGGAGCAGGACCTGCGCTCGGACAGCAGTATCCAGGGGGCCCTGGCCAGCCAGCGGGCTTTGCTGGCGGTGAGTGAGTGAGGGGGGCTCACTGCACTGAACTATTCAGGCCAGCGCTGCCTGGCCTCTTTTCCCTTTGCAATGTCTCTAAGAGCTGGCCTTGTGTCGCCAACATCCCTCCCTGCTTCTCCACTGCTAAGAGCTGATTGACCCCCGCAGCTTTGGCGCTTCCAGACGCACCGGGCTAAGCATCCCCGGCTCACGCTGTGTGACACTGAGCTCTGGGGGGGCCCATCTCTCCCTTGGAGTCGGTGACGCACCCAATGTAATGGGACCTGATCCTGACTGGGGCCTCTGGGCATCGCTGCAGTACCCAGTACAATGATCATGCATCCTGAACTCCCCTCTGCCTCTCCTCCCCATTGATCCCCTGCCCACCGGGGCCTTCCCCTGTAGGAGCCCTTCTCCAGCGCTCACTCCCCTCTGGCCACTTCCTCCTAGAGCTCCCAGACCAGGGCCCCAGCCTGGCTCTTCTCGGGGCTCAGGCTTCTCCAAAGCCATTGCCTTACCTGGGCTCAGACAGGAAGTGGGATCCTGGGGGGGGGGTGTCCCAGGCTGCCAAGTTGGGCACCAGCTGACGCTTCGGAGTGGGCTTTGAGGGAGGCCTGGCGAATGGTGGGGTTTGCTCTGTATCTCCTGGGGCCTGGTGCTGTGGTTTGCTGAGAGCCCTGTGCTATTCCTGCAGGAGGCACTGAGTGAGACCCAGGAGATCTGCAAGCAGCACACGTGGGTGGCAGAGATCCACAGCTTTGCTCACAGCTGGAGCCCCAAGCAGCTGGAGCTGATGAAGGGCTGGCCCGCGGGCAAATATGTGCAGCGAGTCGTACAGCTGCGAGCCTGGGCAGAACGTGTCAGAGAGGTGCCCTCCATGGTCATCACCTGCAACCGGCTCCTCTTGGTGGATTGCAGCAGCGTGCAGCAGGAGATTGGTGTGTGGGGCGTGAGGGGACATGCAGAAGATGGTGCACCCTGTGGGGGATTGCTATGTGGGCATCAGGAGGGGCAGAGGCGCTCACATGGGCAAGGGGCAGTGAACACCTTGTGGAGGAGGCAAAAGTCAGGTGGGGTTAGTCGGGGCGATGGAGTCCTGTGGAGGGAATGGCTGGTCACAGAAGGGAGGGGTAATGGGACCTGGCGATGGGCTCCGGGGTGGGGGTAGCTGGTCATATGGGGGGAGGTAATGGACCATTAGTAAATGGGAGAGCTGTGGACTCTGGGAGTGTGCGGCTGGTG